GTCCCCAGTGAAGGCAGTGGTGGAAATTCAGTGTTTTCAGGATGTGTTGGAATGGAGTACAAACACAACAGGTTTTAAATCCAGAGCTTTGGTAATTTCAGCCTCAGGAAAAAAACAACAGCCAGCATCCAAACCTTCATTGTTTCTCTGTAAGATGTGCTGCGGGGCGATGGAATCGCCAGCGCCATGGTAGGGATGTGGGATGGAGACTCGGGGATGTCCTTCACCCACCCTCACCTGCTCGCTCCGTAAAGCCATCAAGACTGAATTTCCAAACACAAACATCTGTTGCAATTTGGGGGAAAGGTCTTTGAGGACTTGAGTTCTCTTGGCAGCTCGTCGTCGCTGAATGCTCGCTTGTGTCGGTGCCAACGTCACCTACTAATTTAAGCAGCTCTTTCTCCTTCCCGGTGTTGATCTGACCCTCCTCCCAGTCGGAGTATTTATAGGTGGTAATCGGATCCCCAGCCAGCATTCACCTTGTGACATCAAGCTCTTTGCTTACAGCCGACCGCTTGTTCCCCCAACCTTCCTGGAGCGCGGCCCAGAACCCAATCCTGAGCGATGTCTTTGTGTTTGCTGCTTCAGATTATTCAGTATATCGGGGAAATCTGCAGGTACCTCCTGAACCAGCCAGTCCGAGAGTCGGAGACGCAGCACTGCGTGCGGCTGGCGGTGGGCAACGGCTTGAGACCCACCATCTGGGAGGACTTCACCAAGCGCTTCCGCATCAAGCAGATCGGAGAGTTCTACGGAGCCACGGAGTGCAACTGCAGCATTGCCAACCTGGATGGGAAGGTGAGGGAAGAGGAAAGGTGGAGAGGAACGAGCAGAAGGGGAAAAGCTCTGCTTGCAGCCACGGTTCTCTGCACATTGCATTCTAGAGATGGTAAAGAGCTGAACTGGTAAATAAGAGCAGCGTGCACACACACAAAAAAAGGAAAAACTCAGGGCAAATTTCCCTCTCAAACGGAGACAGAATAAAGAGCAGAGAATTCCCAGCATACAAAACCCAAGGCATTTTCTTCAGCCTTATGGGTTGGTTTTTTTTCCTGTCTTTTGGAAGGTCGGTGCCTGCGGCTTCAACAGTCGGATCTTGCCCAACGTTTATCCCATTCGTTTGGTGAAGGTGAATGAGGACACGATGGAGCTGATCCGTGATTCCAGGGGGCTGTGCGTCCCGTGCCGCCCAGGTGAGCCTTGACTTGAAGCCATTTCCCGCAGTTCTTCATTCTAAGAACAAATACTTCACGAGCTCTGATGGGTTTAAGGGGTTCGCGGTGTCGCATACGGGTTTTCCCTTCTAGATCTCTGATGAGTTGCTTTAATGAAGATCTTTGGGACGAGCAATGATGTGATGGAAAACATCGTAACTCGGTGTTGTCTTGTGCTGTTCGGCCCTCTTTCCTGCAGGAGAGCCAGGATTACTCGTAGGTCAGATAAATCAACAGGATCCCCTGCGTCGCTTCGATGGCTACGTCAATGAGAGTGCCACCCACAAGAAGATTGCTTACAACGTGCTCCAGAAGGGGGATCAGGCCTACCTGTCAGGTACTGGGCTCACTGGTACTGCAGCTCCTCAGCACTGATCATGGAACCGTGGAAAGATTGGGTTGGAAGGGACCTGAAAGGTCAGAGATCCGTGGA